GGCCGGCCTAGCGTTCCATTAGCCCGTGGAGCCCCGATCGCGTCCGGCCTCTGGCAGATCTTGTCCTGACCCCGCCGATCGACGTAGCGCCTGGCACGGTGTCGTTTGGAAGGACTTGCCAAGGACATACGGTGGGGCCAAGAGCATACGCGGTGGACGGCAGGAAGGAACTGGTAGAGGACGGGGGTGAGCAATACCGCAAACAAGTATGGCCCGAGACGCCATGCACCAAGCACAAGGAGGACAATGTTGTGCACGCCAAGAGGTTCGAACGGGAAACTTTGGTGCGACTACGTCGAGCACGTGGGCCGCCCTTCTCTTGCCGTGATATTTCTCACCGTTGGGCTTCCGATTCTCCGCTGAGAAGAGAGCGCCCGCGACAACCTGTGGGCCTATGACCTGCAAGCTTGCACGCCGCAGGGCAACAGGTCGTCCCGGGCGCTCTCTTCTGTGCAGAGAATCGAAAGCCAGAAGGTGCCGAAAAGCACGCGAGGAGGAAGGCGGCGAACACGCTCTCGATGTGCTCGCCCCTCCCTTCGGCCACCCTGACTTGTTGGGGTGCGTGCTTTGTCCTCCTTGTACCTTGCGCATTCCGTCTCGGGCCGTTTTTGATTGCGATATGGCTCCCCCACGCCCCTACTCGTTCCTTCCCGGGCACACTCTTGGCCCCACCGTATGTCCTTGGACAAGTCCTTCGAGGCGAGAGCGTGCCCAGGCGTTACGTGTAACGTCGGGGTCAGGACAAGAGTTGTCAGAGGCCGAACGCGATCGGGGCTCGACGGGCTGGTTGAACGTCAGGCCGGCCAACGACGTCCGCAAGGGCCAGCGGTAGTAGGGGAAGGTCGAGCGAATCGGCAAGGCTGCGAATTTTGAGTTTCCCTCCTGGTTCTTTCCTCCTCGCCTGCCGGGTGGCTGTCGTGATCGGTCGTTTTTGTCAGAACAGAACGCACCATCGTGTTTGCAAGGTCCGAAAATAACCGCCCTGCCAGGGTCCCGCTGCCTGCACCTTGTGTGTTTCTATCCGGCCATTCTTTCCCTAAGCCCTAGTTGGTGACGAGAGCGCCAAGCGCTACGTCGATTTTGTGAAGAAAGGCTCGCCGAGGCCGAGCTCTCGAGAGGTTGCGGCGCTGCTTGCGCTGTCTACCGTGCTGTTCGTGTGTGTCTTCCGGTGGTTATGCTGGGATTTTGTCGAGCTATCAGAGTGCAGAATGTGTAAGCGCCTATGCCGTGTTTGCTCGTGTGTGTGTGCCTTTATTGTTAGCATAGACCGCGCTAACGGGCTGAACAATGCGTGTGTGTATGTGTGTATGTGTGTGTTTTTTCATCTGGTGGCGCTTTGTGTTGGTGTTCGTTTTTGGTTTCCGGTCTCGCAGGACAAGAACTTCAAGAAGGAGATGAACAAGTTGATGGAGAGCGACGAGTGGAAGAACGGTGCCACCGACGCCACAGACTTCCTCCAAGACCCCAAAGCCATGGAAGCCATGGCGAAGAAGGTGCACTGCATGGACACGACGGGCACGGAATGTTATTTCGACGTATGAATATCATACCACCGCCGGCCGTTGTACCCTCTTCACTTTTTTTTTTTTTTTCTCTTATTTTCTGCGTGTGCTGTCTTTTCTTTTTTTTTCTTTTTTCTGGTGTGGAGAACGAATGAGCGTTAGGAGAGGGTAGGGTGTCAGTGGCATGAGTAGTTTCTTGTCGCGGTGGTCTACCTACCGCGACTGCCGTCCGTGTTGCTTTTTCCTTGGCGGGACCGGTGGCCTTGGTGCCGCCGTTCTTGTTAAGGTCTACCCCGTTTGTCGTGCGCACACCTCAGCCTCTATCTCCCGTGAAATATCCGCGAACGGGGAGCCGCACACACACCGGCCGGCGTTTTTTCTGTTACTCCTTTTTGTGATTGTTAATCTTTTTCGCTGCGTAATGCGCGGCGTTTTTCGTTTTTCTTTTTTTTCTTTTTGCTGTCCCGTGATGTCGGCAGACGAAAGAATACACCGACTTCATCGCTGCCGGCCCCGGGAAGGACGGCAAGAGGGACGCTGCGATGGGTAAGCAAAGCAAAAGCAAGCCCAGCCTGGGCCACACCGACTCGGTGTGCGGTGTCGTGTGTCGTTCTCTGCTGCTGCTGCTGCTGTACTGCCGCCGCCGCTGCTGATCTCAAAGATACCACCGAATTAGTTGAGGTACATGCCTGTGCGACGAGTAATGTATAGACGCGTTGTTGGCACGTGGCAAAGAACCAACGGCGGAGCCCCCCCCCCCCCTCCCCCCATCTACGCCCAAACACACCTGCACGTGTAAGAGGGCAGCGTCCCCGCTGATTGCCTGAGAGTATACTGAAGCGTGAGAAAACGCAATACGTCGACAGCACCGATTTTTTTGGTCATTTCGTTTATTTGCTGCCAGTTTTGAGCAACAGCACGTTTGTGACAGCCCACACGTCCGGATTCGTAGCACGCTCTCGAGACAGACATGGTCCTCTTAGCGGGGCACTGCCGTGAAGTAGATATAATAGGGGGGATGCGGCCGAATACGCGAAACCACGGACCCCCCTGAATGTTTTCTTTTGCGAGTTTAAGTCGCGAGATGCGGTGGCGGTATGGACGCTGCGGTTCGGAAAGGCACCAGGCATTGAGTGATACCTTGTATATTTTTTTCGTTGGGGTAGGGCGGGAGCAAAAAGTGTCTTGGGGGTAATTTACGATGGAGCGTGACGTCACTCTGCTCAAGTCCGTCTTGGCTCCGTCGCCAGCGAGTAACAGCTGAAAGCGACTGGAGACCCAGTGTGCGCAGCTGAGTTGGATCCCTGCTAGTTTGGAGTGCGCACGTTGCTCAATGTTCGTCCTGCTTGCGTTTTTTTTTGTGTGGAAGGTTCGTCCTACATGTGTTGAGCGGTTTCTGACGAGTCTGTCTTTGTGCTTACCGCTCTCAAACAACGAAGGCCTCAACGCGGCGTCAGCGTCGATGATGGACCCTAACTTCATGAAGGACGCCATGGAGATGATGCAGGACCCCGCTGTCATGAAGCAGGTGAGCGAAGAGACCTGTTTTTTTTGTTTTTTTTTTAATGAAGGTTTTCTAGGGTTAAGCTAGCCTGTGACCACGAGAATCGACCGCGTCAAGTGTTAGATCAGTACGGACAGAGGGGCGTACTGGATGGAGACATCGGAATGACTTGTTGTTGTTGTAGTTGTGAAGACAACACGCACCATACGTAGCAGGGCTGCGATTTGGAGCAACGGGATCCACGGTATATCCGTGGCCTATTATTGTCACTCCGGTTGCCGTTGCTGCCGCGTATTTGTAGTGTAGCGGGGAGCCAATGAGATGGGACCAGTTCCTCCACGAAACGCTAGAGCTGCGGAGCCATCCCCGAGGAATGCCGGCCTGGGTGGCTAGCATATGCTTAACGGGTTCCGGTGGCAGTTTGGCTTGGTTGTGATTCCACTCACGTGGAGAGATGAGGCTGGGAACTCGTGGGGCGAGGTTCCTTAGAAAAACAGTAGATGGCCTTCTCGAGAATATTGGTGTTGGTTTTAGTACGGGGTGCGGCATAGGGTTGAGGATAAGGATTCGAACCCCCCCCCTCTCTACTTCACGGAGGCGGTCCCTTAGGAAAGGGCATTCCAGAACCAGGGCTAGCTTTCGGATGGTTCGCGTGGCCAGCGCCAACCTCGTCTTGACACGTTTTTTAATTTTTTCCGTGTCTTTTTTTTGTGTTGTTTTTTTCAACCGCAGGTGGAGGAGACGATGAAGAACCCGGAATTCATGAAGCAGATGAAGGAGGTGATGGACAACCCGGCCATGAAGGAACAGCTTGCGAAGGTACCTCCCTCATGCACATTGATGGTAGTAGTGCTTACCCCTACCGTATCTCCTACTGTCGTGATGCGGTATGTGCTCCACACATATGGGCGAATTACCGCCACAGTAAGCCTTGTGTGACGTTGGTAGTTGGCCCCAGTGCTCTCTGCTGCGCTAGGGTTATTGGTTGCTGGAATACCATACCAATGCCAATTGATGTTCGTGTTAGGTTACTCTCCCGAGGAGCGAAGTCGGAAATAATAATGGGAAGGAGCCGAATAGCGAGTGTTTTGCGCCACTGCGGCACCGGGCACTACGTGGTGCTGTCACCTCAGAACACCAACATGCCAATTGATGTTAGATGTCGTCCCCCAACACACATACCCAAGGGAGCAAACGCAGACAAGAATCATCGGAAGAAGCCGCGCCGAAGTAGCGACGATCGTGCGCTACGGCTGCAGCAGGCACTACATGCTGCTCTCACCTGGGCGCACCGGTCATTTTTGAAAGCTGCGTATTTTTTGTTTGCAGGTACAGGAGAGAACTGGCGTAGAAGCACGTCCGCTCCCGAACCCAGTGAGCCTATGCTAACGGTAGGATCAGACCTCTGCTGAGCACCTCCCCAATAGCTTTTGTTTCCCCATCTTACCACGTGCGAATCAAGCTATTGATGTCGCTCGACCGTTTTTCTTTTCCTCTTTCCGGGTGTAAAAAAAAAACAGGCCGGCGCCAACATGGAAGAATTGATGAAGAACCCCGAGCTCATGGCGGAAGCACAGAGGCAGTTGCAGGCCATGATGGGGGGTGCGGCGGCGGCGTGAGCTATGCATAGCTAACGGGGAAGAAGCACGCGGGGAGAGAAAGAAGAGAGGACACCTGCTGAAGGAGACGGGCGACGGTGTTTTCGCGTGTCCCTTGTGTTGTTGGGCGACGGTCATGTGTTTTCCATGGCGGTCACGGTTTGCCCGCGATTGAGTCGTGCTTTTAGAATCAAGGCTCACTCTGGTGCCTTGGGTTGGTTTGCTCACACACACGCGCACACACCCCGCGTGCACTGGCAGGACGCACTGGTACAGTTGAAAACTTAGGTAATCGTTGTGTGGCGTCTCTGTCTGCTCGTCTGTCTCTGTGGTTGGCGCAGCTATCGTAGAACTCAGAGATGGGGCTGTCGTAGACTGGACGACAGCAGTTAGACTAGCTGTAGACGAAGCAGTACAGGCCAACAAACCGCCTTGTATCCTCTTCTTTTGAGGGGGGAGCCAAGGTCATGTCGGGAGCACGGGTGGCCGTGAATTGTATCTGTTTTCTATCTGGTCTGGTGTGCGCCATGATCTGGTGTAGCCTTTCTTTCTCGGCGCCTTGCTGCTGCCTCCACTGTGCCTCTCGTTTCGGTATGCGCGGTATGTGGTTGTTTTGGCCAAGGTATTGCCCAGGCATATTTACAGCATGTGCACGTGAGCATAATCTGCGAATCGATACAGCTTGACCTCGGGGATGCGAGGTTCGGGGGTGTGGTGCTTCCGGTTTTTCTTGCTTCGATATTTTTTAGAAGGGAGAGGCAGGTAGCCCATCGCTATGTAGGATGTGAGTGTTGTCGGAGAAAATCTCGGATCACCTCGGTTGTGTTCCGGTTTTGCCCATTTTGGCGAAGAGGGTGCCATTTTTGAATGAATACCCCGATCCGCAGTGGTCTGGGTGGCAACGCAGCGTTGTTGCCTCTATAGAGCTTTGATATGATATAGAGTTTTTTTTTGTGAATTCCCTATTTTTTGGGGAGGCCCTGCCCTGTCTAAAGTGTTCGAGGCCTTGAGAGACCTCGCGCCCACAGGCCTTACGACGTTTGTGTTGCCGAGAGACGGGAGGGACGCTTGATTATCCAGCGTGGCCTGCACACAAGTCATTGCCGCCCCGAAGGCCCGACGTGCTCGCATCTATCTTTGTCCTGATGCAGCCCCTGTCTCGTAGGAACGCGTGTTTAGCATTGGGGGTCGAAAGAACGCTCCAAATGAAGTGGAACAGCCGAACATTGCAAACGCACGAAGCTTGTGCCCACGACGTTCGCCCGCTTTTGGTTGGGTTTTCGTCTGTCGTGTCACCCGCGAAGGCCTACAAGTATTTCGTTGAGATCTTTAGCGTTGCCATCACGCCTCTTGTAGTCTTTGAGACCACCTGGACGTCGGATTGTCTTCCGACGACAGCCCTCCCTCTCGGCAAGAAAGCTCAAGAGGAGGAACCCTGAACACAAGACCCACAGCAGCGTGAATTATTTTGCATCCGAACGACCAATTGTCGTTCGGTCTTCTCACGCCAAACACATAGCACGCCACAAACGCCGTACGACACCGTCCAAGATGCCACCCCTCCATGCTATCAATCTCCTACAAACCCTCTGGTTGCTCAACACTTCCGGATTGGTCCCAAGTTTAACATGGAGTAGATCGTTTGCTCAGACACGCTTTGGCGGAGTAGGCAACCAACCGACCCCGCCCATTTCCGGGCAACATCTACGGCGAACGAGCATGGAACACGGTACACGAAACCCACAGTCCCCCTTGTAGGACAGCGGCGACAAGCGCACGGGGAGCGAGGTTGCCGGGTGTTGGCCAACCGAAAGGTGGGGGCAAAAGCGAACCTCCCACTGCTGACGTGTTGTGTTTTTTTGTCTGCGCTTCAAATCAGCGCCCACAGCATTTGTGCCGTTTACTCCAAGTCCAACCCGTGGTCACACAAAAGGGTCCCGCTCCCTGAGGCCCCCTATCCACCCCTCCTGCGGTGCTTCGCCTTCTAGTTTTAACGCGACAAGAGTGCAGCACTCTCTTCCCTATGTGTACACACGACCTAGTGCTTTCCACCCAAGCCAGGAGCATGCTCGAGGAAGAAACGACTCTTCGGCCGCCCAGGCGCGTTTTCTTTTATTCGCGCGCTCAACGCGAGGCGACAGCTCGCATGTCGCCTGATTCTCCAACGGCACCAACCCTGAACCGTACTCATCCCACGAAACAAAAAAAAAACAGGAGACGGCTCACATGGCGCCTGATTCTCCAATGACCCCAAGCCCCAACCGTACCCATCCCGCAAAATCAACAGGAGAGAACGTTGCTGTCTCCTTCCGTCTATTTGCTCCTCTCTCTCTCTCCCCCTCCCTCTCTCCCTCTCTCTCTCTACCGGTAGCACTCGTCGTCTAGATCTAGGCGCTCTCTCCCCGCAAGCGAGCAGCCCTGGCCTCCTGCTTCCGCCGCAGGAGCTCCTTCCTCTCGGCCCGCTGCTTCTCTCTGCCCGTCTGCCCCCCCCCGGCCTTCGCCTTGGCCATCGTCTGCCTTCTCGCCGCCTCCGTCTCTTCCTGGACCTGTCGCAAGTACGTCTTCTGGTCCCCGCTAAGCGTCTGCTCCCACTGAGATCGAATCTACGAACGAAATGTAGCCGACAGGCATCGTTAGGACCAAAAGGGGGGGGAGGGCATGGCGGCGGAACGGGGCGGCGGAACCAACACACGGGGAGAGGAAGAAGCAAAAGTTAGCGGGACAGGAGGGAGTGGGAGGTCCGCCGTAACGTGATCGTTGCCGCTCCACAAACGGGCATCTGCGTCGAAGGCGGCTGCTGTGCAGTCGTGGAAAGAGTGTGCTATTGGGCGGGGAAATAATCTCAGTCGCCGAAGAAGCCATGCCCGCAGCCTGGCACTCCGGGCATGGTGACGGCGAACAGCGTCGAAATCTAGCGGAGGAGCGCTTGGGGGTACGGAGATACATTCATCTTGACATCGGCTTAAAAAAAAAGAGAGAGAGACAGCTTTCGCTCCCTCCATGATGATCCCCACCCCACCCATTCTTAAAGGCCCCTCCTCTCGGATAGATCCACGAAACGCCTTCACGGACAAACACCACACAAAACCTTCGGAACACATCAACAACACGCATGCCAAAACAAAAACGAACAACCACGCGCGAGAACAAAACTCCAACGCAAGCACGGCGCTAACACGCCCGACAACGCCTCGTACCTTGGCACCGGCATCGTCGTCGCCCTTGCCGCCGGCCTCCCGCCCCAGCAGCTCCGCCATGCCCTTCTTGGCGCGCCGCTCCTCTCCCTCGCGCGTCTCGAAGTCGCCCTCGTCGGCGCCCCTCCCCGCGCCGGAGCTCCAAGCCCACCCTCCCGCTGTTGGGCCATCGTCACTGGTCGCCGCGGGAGCAGCGGGTGACGACGACGATCCAAAGCGTCCGGCGGTGGTAGAGGAGGAGGAGGAGGAGAACCCGGGAGGCGGGGGTGCGGCGCCCGTGTTCCCTCGGTAGGAGTAGCGGTCGTCGAAGTTTGCCTGAGACGACGACGACGACGGAGCGGCGGCGGCGGCGTTTTGTTCGAACTCCCGCCGCTCCGACTCGATTTCCGCCGCACGCTTCCTGGCCTTGAGGTGCTCCCGGTGCTCGCGGCCTCCCCTGGTGACGGTTCGGTGTCGGCCGAACTCGTCCACGATCTCCACCTCCCCGCCGTAACCGCCGCCGCCGCCGTCGTAAAAGTCATCATCATCGTCGCCCGTATCCTCCTCTCCAGAGTCCGACCGGCTTCCCGATCCGCCGCCGCGTTTCTTGCTACGGCCGCCGCTGCTCCGCTGTCGCTTCTTTCCGCCCCCGCTGCTCCGGCTGTCGCCGGCCTCGCTGGCGCTAGAGCCGGGCTTTCCATCGTCCTTGTGGCGGAGCTTCCTTGGCTCCACGGCCTTGGCCTCGAGAAGAGCCAGGTCATCGCCCGTCTTTCGCGAAAAATCTACCAGAGACCCCGCCCGAGTAGCACCGCCTATCTCTCCTTTGGCTGCCACGGGGGTTAGAAGCGGGACCGCGCAGACGCACAATCGAAGAGAGAACAACACGTTGGGGACGGGTTCAGATTTTGCGATAAATGGCCGTGGGTTCTTCAAACCACACACGGCCCCTGCTCTCCGCTCGCTCAAAAGGCCACACAGGAACGAATACGCGAGCAACAGACTCCCGCGGCATCATGAAACGGGCTGGGCTAACCTGAAGCCGCCAAATTCCTTTGCACCCTGTCTTGCAAAACGCGAATTAAGTGAACTCGGCCACCATGTCGGCCGCATCCTCCTTTAGGCGGCTCTTCTTCGTACCTACCTACGAACACAGGTGGGGGAGAGCTCCGAGACCACCCCAAGTCTCCTCCAACACATAAAAACAGCGTAGAAGAAAAACAACGGCGCCTACAAAGGTACGCAGCGCGTATCCCAACATACACGGCGGCTAGTCTACACGCATCTGTCTCACCCAGCTTCTCGTAGAGGCTCGACTTCGCCGCCATGACCCGCTGCCCCGCCTTTCTCTTCGTGGACGCGGTCACCCTCTCGATCTCGTCCCTCTGCGACCGGTCCTCGACGCCCCTGTTGCTCCTCGCAAAGGGGTCTTTGCGCGCGCCGCCGTCCCGGTCCCCCGATGATCGCTTTCCTCGCAGACCGCGGAGCCCCCCGCTTGCGCTCCCGCTCCCGCCGCCGCCTTCAAGCTTGGCCTTCTGCTCCTTGGCGTAGACGATGGCCTTGAGGTCTACCAGGGAGCGGCCGTCCACTTTGATGGGCTAGAGGGCGTCGTTATCGTCATCGTTTAGGTGTAAGGGAAAAGAAGGGAAAGAATGAGTCTCAACGGGGGTCGTGACACGAGCAAGAGTTAGGGTGGGGTGAGTCAACAACGTATGCATACGGCACGTGCATATCAGACGCTACGCGGTGTAGACGGTGCCAGAGGCGTGCCTGGAAACGACACCCCGTACAGCGAAGAGTGACGGAGGGCGAATACTACATAATGCTGTCGGAGTCGGGCGTCAGTCAGGACACATTTTTCTACCAGTGTACGAAAACAAGAAACTTCGGTGGGTATTTCGGCATATGGCGCCCTCCCGTCGCCAACGTAGTTCGTGCGACGGAAACGAAACACTAGGTGACAATCCACACGGCGGGACGCGAGGGAGTTGCAGGTGACGGTATGCATTTCATCGCTGGCGATTCCAGTACTATAGTGGAAGGGGAAGGAAGGAACGATTGACACGTAATGACTTCTGTCAGTTCGGACGCAGCATGAAGTGGTTGGTGGCCCTGACACGCCTAAGATGAACGCCGCACAACGGTCTCTCCTCCAAGGTCTACCTCCAACTCTCTTCATCAGCACAACATCATCGGAGTTTGGTCCCCTACAGTACTGCTGTACACGCCGGGCGTGTGTTTTCTTCGTGTTCCATGCCTCCCCATGTACCAGAAGGGTGCCTCGGCGTTGTGGGTGCTTCGGCCCTGCTTGAGAATGCATTCCCACAGGAGGACAGGAGGCCATCGTGTCTCTAAATGGTACCTTTCGTGCTTACAGAGGGCCATAACGTTAGCGGTAATGCTATGCACCAACTATGTGCTGCTGTGCTGCTGTTAAGCCGAAGTCGATCATCGACACAGCAGTGTTCCTGTACGGTGGTGTCGTCGGTCGGCCGAAGAAGACAAAGCAAGACTTTCCATGATTTAAACCGGAAAGACGGGTCCTTCCTTCCCACTGACAGATTACTAGTCTCAGCAGCATAACTCTCTGCGCGCCAGCGACAAAGGGAGGGCTCGGCACCTCTACACTCTACATTCTGAACGCAAACCGTCTTCATGGCACCCGGTTCCGCGCGGTGCAACTGCTGTGATTTGGTACATAGTCTGGCTCCGGACAAACAATCGACATGTTCGTGTATAATAGGACGAATGTTACGCCCAACGATGGGATGGCCTAACAGAGAGGACAGAGCAGGGTACAGGCAGGGTGCACACGAGCGTTGTTGGGAAAACCGCCGTGGTGGAAACGTGGCATAAGTTTGGCATCTCAACTTGATAATAGTACTCGGTGTAACAGACTGCACCGCTCTCAACCTCATTTCCGGATAGATGCTTACCTTCGACTTGGCCGGAAGCAGCGCTGACTCCGTCAAGAACCCGAAAGACATGGTGCCTGCTGTGTTGGTCCTCCCTCTGCACGTCGCTGGGGTGCCTGTGACACACTTGGCAACTGGGAACAAGGGGGCACGCGAATAGAAAACAAACGGTATGTACCCATCTTTCGAATTTCCCGGATTTCCGTGGTGTCCTCTCGCGCGCTCTTTCTCCGCACCACGGGGAACTGCAGAGCAGAATCAGCGGAGGCATTGGAGAGAACGTGATGAAGCCCAAGCCCTTCTCGTGCGCGTTGCTCACGCTCGTGGGATTAGCTGTGCTCAGGGAGCATGGGTTGTCGTCGGCGCAAACGGAGGAAGAGCTTGTCCAGGTACGTGTGGGCAAGACTGATGTGATCATGAGAGTGGCGAAAACTTTCTGTACTTGGGCGTAGATCACGCGCCCATTGTTTGTGCGGAGACCGCTGCCCTGCTCCTGTTTTCGCTCACGCAGCAGGGCTCACCCAGCACACACAGGGCTTGTTCCCTCATGCAATGGCTTGGTCTCTCCCCAGCTGCAACCCGCACTCGGCCGAAAGGCAACGCTTGCCTATTGCGGCACCTTCCTGTCGGCGATTTGAGATTTTGAAGATTGCTGTGTACGGTTTACCGTAGGGGGGGGGGTCACGACCACCGTATGCATACAAGGGGTTATTCTGGCTCTCGCCCCACCCAACCAACGCGACAAAAGAGTCACGTGCAGCTTGACATGGCATGCTCCTCCTTTCTTGTGGATTTGGTGCTTCGTAAAAAACAGATACGCCAGCAGGAGCAGCAGCGGCGGGTTCAGGAGCAGCAGCAGCGGGTGCAGGAGCAGCAGCAGCAGCAGCGGGTACACGAACAGCAGCAGCGGGTGCAGGAGCAGCAGCAGCAGCAGCGGCAGCGGCAGCAGCAACAGCAACAGCAACGACAGGAGCAGGAGCAGGAGCAGCAGCAGCCGCAAGAGCACGAATGCTACACCCTAAAGCTCGAGGAGGACGAACTGGTGCGACGGGAAAAAAAATCTTCTTGATTTATTGTATTAATAGTTGTTGGGGAAGTACCCCCCCCACCCCCACCCCCACCCCCACCCCCACCCCCACCCCGGCCGCTCCGCTTCGACGTTAGTGGCAGCTCGAAAGCGGCTGGATCATTCGACGTTGTGACACAGCGACATAACCATGTCAGCAGTAGTGGTCATTCACCCGTTGACGGGTGGGTGGTGGTCTACTTTAGCCGGCTTTTTGACTGAAGTGTGACCGCTGACGCAATTCCTCCCGAGCGGCGAAATCTACTGTCCAGAATAGATTGACCTCCAGAATGGATGGAATTAAGACAACACACCACCACCACCACCACCACCACCACCACCACCAACAACAACAACAACAACAACAGCTGGACGATACTCATGCCAACACCCATGCCGAGCTGTGGGCGGCGGCCCGCTTCCTCAAGCCACGAAAAGCACGCGATTTCATTCATGAGCGCGTACTGATCGACCGCGTCAAGTGTTGGACTAGTGCAGACAGAAGACGGAACTGGGTAGAGAGAACGGAACGGTTTTTAATGTGAAGACAACAACAACAACAACAACAACAACAACAGCAACCGCTTATACTGCTGTAGCCGCACACCTCCTAGGCCACTACACGATATACCAGATCTACCAGTTCTACGCATTTTCCAGCGGGTACGGTAGTCGTGTTCCCAAACCCGACCAGCGGGTTCATCAGGGTCGTGCCCGTTCCCGAAAGCGTTCGTTGCAGGCCAGGGCGGAGAGCGCGCCCGCTGCGCGTGCCGTATTCGAGTAAATAGTACACGTACAACTCTCCCGTTGTGTACAGGAGGAGTTACAGCAGGTAAAAAGGGTGACGTTTGTTCCAGGAGCGTTGGGTCACATGTGCAGCGAATCGCGCCTTCTTCACGCCACAGGTATATTCTCAACTCGAGGCAGAAGACAGCAACAACGAGCTCCTGGCCAAGGCGTACGGCATCATCAACAGCAAGCTTGATGGCGTCACCTCCATGTTCTTCGACTATACGGGAGAAGGGTGAGAGAGACGATGACTCACGTCCAATCAGAACGCGTGCATCCAGGGGAAGGGCACCACGCGCAGTTTTTCGGTGTCGTGCGATGGTGATCTTTGGTGCTTGGACGACGAAATGTTGCAGTTGTCGGTGCGTTGCCTCTTCGCTTTCCATTAACCGCAGCAGTACGGTGGTCATATTTGGTGCTTAGACGACGATATGTTGTCGACTTTTTTTTTTGTCGGGGCCGGGGGTGCTCAGATCCCGCCGCCCTGCTTCATTTCCCCTTGCTTCAACACGCCTGCGTAAGTCCTCAACCTGCCGCTGCCCGAGCCCGAGAGCACATCATCACCGCATGGTGGGCAGCTTATGCTGTGCACGCTTGGTCCCGTAGCAGTATCTACTGTCGGTCGTTTGTTCGACTTGTTTTTTCACACGATTGTCTGCTTGCTCCATAGCCGGGGTGGCAATTCGGTTTCCGTCCCGTGCCTTGGGCAAAGCTACTTGTTGGCGCCGACACGTGTTTTGGGGGGACGTGTTTTCTCCTTTTTGCGGCGCCAAGCACCCCCCTCCAGTCAGGATCACGCAGCCACATTGTATCGCAATCTTCGTAACAATGCGGCGAGACTAGGCACCCAACACCAATCAATCTTCTTCACAGTGCGGGGTGAAACCAGGCCGCCCGCACCGATCGATAAGTTGTAGGTACATGGAAGGTGTAGGTACATGGAAGGAGACCAGACAATCTGCGTCAATAGAGATGAGGCAAACACACTGATTTTATCTGCTTGTTTTTTTCGCGGGACCGGAATTCCAGGCAGAACCGTAAGGTGGGCAAGTTTACCGCGAAGGCGACGGTAACCCGGGTCCGGCCCTCGGGCGAGGACCTGACGCAGTGCTACTACATCCCGTACGAGATCAAGGACACCGACGAGTGCCGCCTGGAGGAGGGGCACCCGATGCGGCACAAGTGCCACCGCAGCACCGTGTGCATCAACACCGTGGGGAGCTACGAGTGTGGGTGAGAGGAGGTGGAGGGGGGGGGGGGGGGGGGGGGGGATCTGCTTTGCCGACTTCCCTTATCTACATTGCTCTATCGACCAGAGGCTGCGCACCTTGGAGACCTGATGCGGTTATGAGTACGACCGGGGGTGAGAATAAAACACGTCCACCGAATTTTCAAGGGCCGTCTAGAGCGCACGCGGACGGGGCAAAAGGTGCCCCGCTTTCCCGCCCAGTCCACCCTATCGCCAGACAAGCCGATTCCAGGGTCGACCAAAGGCGTTAACGAGAAAAGACAACTCTCGC